TTAAAATGGGGTAAAACCGGAACTTGCTTTAATTTTAGCATCAATTAGGCTCCAATTGTGATCTTAACTATATCGATTTCCTCCCTCTCGTCCAGATCTTCCATTCAAGCCCTCGATCAACCCCGTAGCATCATTAGCACAGAAGTTATGCACATTTTCATGTCTTACAGTTTTTCAAGGATAAATTTTCGAACAAAAAAAAAAAATTTTATTTATTCAATTTTTTATTTCTCAAAATTTTTTAGAAATAATTAGCCCTGATCTTTCCCATGTTAATAATCAGTTCAGATGATTACACTGTATATTCTTCATGTTAATGAGCATAATAATAATGCTTAAATTAATTTTCAACTGAAGGGTGAATTTCCATTCGTTTGAACATCGAATTTACTTTAATACAGCTTTGAAGCTAGTGAGAAAAATAGATTTAAAATCATAAGGGTTTATTGAAACCACCAATGATATTCACATTCATTATTGTACTGTTATCATTAATCTTCAATGCATATTAACATCTATATCATATGTATTATTAAAATGTTCGGTTCTCTCAACGCTACCATTTCCATCAATTTAATTTAGTATCAAATACGCAAAAATCATCTAATGCATTACTTTATAAAAAATTGATTAATTTTATTCAAGTACACAGACAAAATCAAATCTGTTTTCAGTCAGCATTATCTCCCTTGAATCAATATTCCATACACACAAAACATTCCACAATAACAACTGCGACCATGAAATTAATCTTTTTTTATAATTAAATCTCTTGAATAGAATTTTTTTTAAAAAAAAAAAGAGAGAAAGAATAAATAAAAAAAAAATATTTACTGCAATTTCAATAGCTTTTACCTGACCACAAAGTTCATAACAACGTTATTGATATAACAAAACCATCGAAAAATATTTAAAAAAATTTTTTCTCTAATTCCACCAATATTCACTTTCAAGTTCATAATATTTTTTGTTGTTGTTAATTACTAAAAACTCAATAACAATAAATGAAGATGAATACTAAAATATTTTTTTAAATCTTAATTATTCATAATTACCAAGAAAAAAATTTAAACACGATCAAAAATGTATTCATCAAACAAAATAAACTGTTCTTTTATTGGAAACAGTGTTGTCTGTATGATTTTCCACATTGTTAGTGCTAATAACGAGTTGGGAATGCGTAAATTCGCTGCGCTAATGCCGTACTAATACTAGCAGATACAATAGACAAAGGGGGATACGCTTGGTAGGTTGGTAGCTCGACGTTTATTCACCAATGAGATTAGTACTAATTGAATACGGATCGAAATGTCGCGCTTTACTGGTGTTCATGCTTGCAGGTAGGACGTTATACATACATTATGAATGCATATAGCTGTACTTGGAGAGTTATCTATAATAATACCAATTGCATTGAAAGTGTATACTTAAACCATTCAAATTTAGTTTGTATAAAGTTAGCAATACGTCCGACCATTTTCAGGCATATATCACTGAAACCATCTTGATAAGAAGTTTTACGTTTTCGCTTTACCTTCAGCCCAATAGTGGTTTTCACTCACGCGCGATCCTCAATGCTGCTGAGCATCAATCTTCTCTCTTGATACGGCCGCGTAGAAAACCTTATATCCTTGGCGATTAATGCTCCATCGAAGCACTCTCGCCTCAGAAAACCGCACCTCATCCTCGATTCCCACGCAAGGATATTCACTAGATTTTTCTTTAGTCCGTGAGCAAGCTTAACAGGAGTAAAAAAAGTAAATAACAAAGCCACGGGTATAAAAGCAAGGGTAAAATAAAATGCTTCTTCTTCATATTTTTTATCTCTCTTCATCACTTTTTTATTTTCAGGTGTCTAATTGGCGAGAATAATGGCACAAAATAAAACAATTAATAAATGTGCCATATTTTTTATTTTTTTTATGAAGTCGTATTGTAGAAATATATTGTTTAAAAAAATTAAATTGTTCCAATATATACTTTGATAATAATTAAAATGTAATTAATAACAATTAGATATTATTTATTAAATATGGTACTCATGAGAATTAAGTGAATTCCAATTATTTGAATTGTTTCTTTGAAAATATAAATCATTTTATCAGCAATAAAGGATAAAAGAAATTAATATGTTTGATAATTTCTTTTTAATTACTCTGATATGTTCAATTTTTTATTCCACCAATTTTTTTTACATGTGTAGATAAAAATATTCTGATAAAAAAAGAGCAATAGAAAAATGTTCAATTTTTTATTGGTAATTTTTTGTTGTTAAAATTCTAGTAAATAATTAGTAATAGAATTTATGATTTCTATTATTTATTTAATAATTTTCTGGTATTAATAAAAGTTATTCCTTTTATTATCAATGCACCGCAACGTAATAATAATTGTATTTAGCAAAGTTGAGAAAAGTTAAATGAACTTAGTAAATTCTTGATGTGATCTTTTCCAAAGTATTTGCATTTATGAATGATGCAGAAATGAGTTTATTAAACTTTGTGATCAGTGTATTTTCTATGAATACAAAAATTTTCTGAAAGGTGACGAATGACGAAAACATTAATTTAAGAGAAAATATTGTTTTATTCTAACAAAAATGACACGACTGTAGGTCAAATTTATTATACGCATACTTTAATAGAGACATAGTAATTACATAAAGATATTTAATCCTTGAGATTTACATTTCATGACCACGTGCAACTAGCTCATATCCTTGTCCTCACTTGTTTTCCCATCTCAACTTCACTTATACAACTTATCCTTTGTTCTCGTATCTTTTTCGCTTACTCTGTATACTGTAATCTCGGTTTAACCCGGCTTTGTTGGACTCATAGCACAATTTGAAGTTAGAGTTTTTACCAAAATGAGCAAATATACTAATTGAAAATTTTTTCATACTAAAATTACCTTTTATTATCACCATTTATCTCATTTACAATTTTCATTCACTTTCAACAAAATAGAATATTTGATGACTATTGATGATTTATACACTGATACATTGAATTTTAGTTAGGATTCATAATAAATATTATAAGAGGGCTTTTAAGCAGGCTTGGTTTTATAATTAAGCCGCCTCTAGCGTCGAAATATTGACTATGCCGATTCATCATACAGTTCCGAATTATAAATGTAATATTGAAAATTACTTTCATGAATAAATAGACGTACAAAATGTTTCTCTGATGTTACTGAGCTTTTCTCAAATTCTATACTAATTATTATAAATAAAACATTTGAGCTGGAATAGGTTTAAATGGAAATTCAATTTTTTTATGCCTTGTAAAGCTTATGATTGTTTGCCAAAAATTTTTTGATGGCATGATAATCAATGGAGTTCTCTGCTAAAAAAAAATCCATAATTTTGAGGAATAGAATAGCTTGAATGATCAGGAGTTCTGTAAGCTTAAGTTGTATGTTCTGAAATAAAGTCAAACAAATGTCGATAATTTAATTGTATTTTTCTGAGAAGATCGAAGTTTAATTAGAAATTGAAATTTTATTTTTTTTAAATAAAAATCATTTGTTAAATTTGTGATAGAGATATGTGTTGAGTAAAATAGAATTTATTGCTGGTAATGCATCGGTTATGACTATTTTAATCCGAAAGCAATAAATTAAACTCCAACGGAATGAATAGCGACGATAAATACGAACGTTCCAATCATTGATAGATTTATTAAACTTCGAGTTTTATGTTAATGTGAACATAGAACAAGTTTTTTATAGTTTTAAAAATGACTTGAACAAATTTTTAGACAGCAAATTACGTAATTGTGATATTTCATGATTATTCATTTAAAAGAAAATAAATCTTCAAACTATATTCTATATTATTCTTTTCAAACTATATTATTCCTTTCAAATATCAACATTATAATTGAAGAGGTATTTATCATTTTATTGTCAAATAAATTTTTTGTGCCTTATATTCGAAGAGAACTAGAAGTAAATAGATCATCAGATAAAATTTTCCATTCAAAATTTCAATTCCAATAGAGAATATTCTGTGAAGTCTAAGAATTATTGAATAAAATCAAACGAAAACTGATATCTTACCTCTAGAATTCCCAAGAAAATCGTATTTTCTATATTTACAGAATTCTAAAACGACTTCAATGAACATAATTGACCAGTTTTTTCTCACTTTTCGTAATAAACATTATTTACTTTTCAATAAGTTGAAAAAAACAACTTTCATTAATAATTCTAAGAAAAACAACCTTTTCATGACATGACTCGTTGAATTATCTTAAAACCCACAGTCTAAGAATTAAAAGTAAAATCCAAAAATAAATTTCCCGGTGATAATTTATTAAAAGAAATAATACCACAGATGAAATTTAATTTTCTCGATATTCTTATAATTACGTGGCCATAATGAATACTGTGTCACTCCCCCAAAGATGTAAACTATTCACGCAAGAAAAAGTTTCCGAATAATGTTGCCAAATGGAACGAAGATAATTGGGTGCACTTTGGCATGAACCCCAAGAGCTAGAAAACTTGATGACAAACTATTCAACATGCATCTAGGAGAAAAGTAATTTTCATATAGAACATAGAAACCTAATGCAAAAAGTATGAAAATATGTCAAGTAAAATCTTGGCTTCTCTTAATTACTTTTACTTTTATACACACGTGAAAAGGTTCGTCAAGTTAAATGCTTCCACGTTACAATGAATCTAGTTCAAGCGTAACTTTTTTATTCGTGGAATAGAGCCAAGCAAAACACCCGCAAGTCTTGCGATCTTATCACCCCTAGTACGTCTTTTGAATCCCTGTCAAAGAAACGCTTGATAGAGATTGAATATTCGAAGCAGCTGGTGATTATGCGCTTCCCGTTTGCATACAATTTATTGTTCAAACATTTATTGAATATTTAACTCATCTATCATGTATATATATAGACATTTTTATTTTAATATTTGATAGTTTACAGTCAGTTAAATTAGAAAAAAATGTGTAACAGGTACTAATAAAAAACACTCACCGATCAAATACGTAATCGTCTGTTAATTTTCCATTATTTTTTTTTATTCATTTTATTTCACACTTGATTTATTTCTTCATCACTATTTAAAACTTGCACCATTTTATTGCAATACTTCCAATTATTTGTGAATAATCAATAAACTTTATATCGTTGGAATCTTTTTTCGAGTATTTTTAGTAAAAATTTGATTTCAATACACTTGTAAAAGATTTCGAGAATTCACTATTGAACACTTTTCACTGACGATGAGTATATAAAGTAGAATGATACATCTTTGACAACGCAATTCGAATGTTGTTTAATTGCAACAGTTTGATGACTTGTGAAACTATCAATAAATTCTCGCTTTTTATTCACATTCAATTTAAATAATGCCTGTCACACATGTGAGAGATGATCATTGGCTTTAAAAGGTTTCGCATGAATCCCGCCAACGTAGATAATTTTTTTCGCAATCAATTAAACGGTTTATATTCATAGAATTTTAGAATAAGTAACTAATAATTAAAAATTTCATTTGTTACTCATTTATTTTTCAATTTAATGATATTTCATACTTTTTTTTTGTGACTGTAATGTCCTTTAAAAAATACACCGTGTTGATAATTGGTATTTACTTTTTTCAGTTTATTAATAACAGTAAAAACACTTAAAAAATGCATGTTTATAACGAGAAATTGTTGATGTGAATAAATTGTTTTCGAAAATAATTTTCAATAACGAGTTTCACTAATTGCATACACATTATCAAGCAAAAATACTCTACCGGTATACGAACACTCGCGGTTTGAATCTGGAGAGCTGACGACTCGAAGCTCTCGAGGTCGACTACGGTACGAGAATGAAAAGCTCGCTCAACTATGGCGCATCAAACGTTGAGATACTCCACTCGCAACCGCGCAGTAGCCAATTCGGTGGATTACACTTTCCAAATTTTTTTCTGCACATTGAACTAGTAAAGCCAAAATTGAAAAATATCACTTTCTAATTTTTTTTTTTTTTAAATGCCAAAAAAAAAAAAATTTAAAACTTCTCCATCAGTTTTCAATGTTCTTCTATTTTACAATAATTGAAAAAAAAGTTGTTCTTAAGCTTTAACTTTTTTAATGTAAATAAAAGAATTAAGAAAAAATCGTTATTATAAAGAAACTATTTTTAAAAAAAAATATTACAGAATAAAAGAAAATAAATTTTTAAGGGATTTACTGAGCTTTTTGGAATCTCGAGATGTCGGAAAGAGCGTAATCCAACCTCCACAACAACTGGAATATCTAGAAAGCAAAGTCTCTGGTCCAGATGCTGCGCAAGTCATAAGACGATATGGGGATCCAGCAAACTTCCAGCCTACTGAAACAAAAATACCACCTGAGTTCAATTTAACCGCGCAAATTTAAACAAAAAAGTCACTCCGAACATTAGCCACAGATTAGAACCATAAAGGATGATCACTTAAATACAGTAATAACTGTAATAATAATCTGGTAACATATCTCGGTCCAATTAAATGCAGCAAATCATAAAATCTTAATGGTTTATGGTTTGAAAAATCATTGATCAGTCGGTCAGTGGATACTGAATCTTGATAGCACGTTGTGGGTAATGAAAACCACTAGTGAGGATAATTAGAGGACTCATGATTATCCTTCAACAGAAGTGCGGCAAGTTGGTCTCGTCAGTTGAAACCACAACTATGAGGAAGCAAACTAATTAGAGGACCCGCGATTATCTATCACTAGGGTCACTATGCTCTTTATTTCGACAATCTCCATATACACTAGTATCATATGCAACATTTTAAATGGTTATACATATCAATATGTAATTGTCAGAATGACATTATTAATACTGGTAATGTACACATAACTATTGCATGACGGAATGAGCTCTATAATAATTAACCTCCAGCTTCATCATTACAAAGCTCAGTGGAGATGAAGTGTCGCTTTAATTAAAAAGAAAAGTAGCAACAAGAGAAGAAGATTTGATTCTTTGACTGTTTCAATTCTCAAGACTACAATAAATAATCTCATGAGTAGTTTTTCTTGATGATAAGACGCGTGCTTGTGCATTTTCGTTTAACGTTCAACTCTTCATGACTTTACTGTCATATAACTTTGTGCTCTTCTTCACGGGTTGTTTTATTGTCGGATCTGATGTTCTTACTCGGCTTGACGCAACAAAATGAATGAGAACACGGTGCGAAATTCAATTTAGCTCATAACACAAAGTGAAGAGTTCTCTAACGTGACGAGAGAAAAATCAATAAACACGAACCAGTAAGCATAGTCTCGACTATGGCATAAACGATGAAAAGTGTACGAATAGACACTTGGCCATCTGAAGCGTTGTCCCTCTTCGGAACTTCGTGGACGGAAACGAGGATGATAGGGCATCTCTGCCGGCGATGAAAATATTACTCAAGATTTCATTATAGATAAACTTCCAACGTTTATTTTTTTTATTTTTGTTTAAAATAAAAGAGCTTTTTCAAGTCTTTTGAACATACCTGACTCTAACATTTTATTCTACTAACAGCTCTGATTACACAAATCAGTTTTAATAGAAAAAATTTTATATACAACTCACTTCCACGCTCTTCTGTAATTATTTCCGCAACGAAAAAAGTTATTTGCAAGTACTGTTGGAGGAATACATCCACTAATAACAAACGAGAATATTACTTTGTTATTGTTTTTTCATATTGAACCCGTTGATTAAAGTCAATTATCCAGCTTTATCTATCGTTGTTGGCCTGAAAGATTTGTTTCGCTTGCTATACCTGCTTCTATACGATTGAAACTATATTTTCAGGTCAACAGCACACACCGGATGCGGAATCGAGGCGCCGGCTATTGAGTTGTTAGTGGCGTAACGAGTACAGGCTGGATAGTGGGTCCCGAGCCAATTCCGCAAAATCTCGCGGCCCTTTGGGAGTTTCGTATTTACTGAGAAGCAATACTGTTGTAGTATTCTAATATTCACATTTTCAAACGTGAATATCTTGTCAGTTTCAAACTTTCATCATTTCTGTAGCGAATTTTTTCAAACAGCTATTACAAACAGACGTTCACTCTAGAATTGAAAGGAAAAGAATAACACTTGAGTTAATTACTTTCAAAGCATCAGAAACAACTCAAATGAAAATATTCTCAGCTCAGCAAGCTTTCGTTTAATTTGTGCTTGAAAGGTCAACGACGTGATGGAAAGTAATTGAATACACTGTTTAATTTGCTTGAACATCATCGATGACTTGTTACGAGCATTTGATTGTAACAGTGCTAATCAACCAGTCTAAGACATTGTTCGTATCAACAATACAGTCATACTTATCGATTGACTGTTGAATGTCTAACATCATCAGCAGCCAGAGAGTTTGAGAGTATAAATTATTTCTTACAATTCTAATGTCAATTTTCTTTAATATTTAGTGAATAATTAATTATTAAAGTTGCTCAAAATTATATTATTACATTCAATTAACTTGAAGCCCTAGAGAAATCTGAAACGGGATAGTCAAATACGATATACTGAGTCAATATCTCCAACCGATTGAATTCTAAACCACCAGAAGACATTGTAATGCTGAATCGTACTTCTTCTATTCTTCTAGCATATTGTTATGAAATCTGGGATGTTATGTTGAAATGATTATGTTCTACACATGGTATTCTGAAATTAATTGTGTATGTATATTTTATAGGAATATTGGGTTGAAGTTATTTTACATAAATAAGTGACATGTTAATTGTAGTTTAAATGAAATCAGCCAATGTTGTTTTCTGTGGAGCATATTATTTTCATAACTGGTATAAGATGAGCACAATGTTAACATTTACTGTGCAATGTATTTATAAATAAAATTATTCCATTGAATACCAACTACTGTGATGCAACTTCCAGAACAAATAACTTGTTCATTTCATAGAAATTGACAATTTAACATTTATCAATTATACACTTGAATTAATTTTATTTTATCAATTGAAACATGGCTAATACTCATTACGGTATATCAACATTAAATATAATTTACATATTTATTGAAAGTTTTCTCTTATTTTAAAAACAAAATATTCATCAATGATGTATAAAATTATGAAATTTATCTAAATAAAAAAAATGTTGCTTACAAAAATATGATAAAAGACTAGGTTATTTTTATTTAATTAATCTATACATGTATAAAAAAGGCACTAATTTTTTTCCATAGGCTTTCGTTTAATCGTATTTGTGTTAAAACTCGAATCACTAGAGCTCGTAAATGAATCCGTTCTCATCAATTCTGTCTTCAGTGTTGGAATATTTGATTTACCATCAGAACTTACTGGGTTGTTAAGTCCAACATGTATTCGTTGAACAATTTCTACTTTTTCTGAATAAATTGGAGACGAAGGCTCACCGGGTTGTCTCCGAGTAATTGAAGGAACCCTTGTAAGTTTGGGCTTCTCTTTGAGTTGAGGCTTCTCAGATTTTTTATCAATCGTATCAGTCATCCCTTTGTTAACTTTCTCAGTACTCTGAAGATTCGGAGTTTCTGGTGAAGGAATGGCTGATACTTTGGGGATATTTCTTTCTCTGCTACGTCCTAAATTCGAAGTTGGTTTAATGATGATTTTAGGTTGCTCTAGTGTTCCCGTTGGAGCAATAATGACTTTGGGATTTTTCCTATCGAGCGTTGAAGAATTTATTACTGGTGCAGAAGATTCAACAGCTCCTTGACGAATTATCGATCCGTCATTCTGTTTCAATAATTCCATATCTATCACTGAAACTTTTTCTGTTGGTGCAAATGCATTTTTTTGTTCGTGGTTTAGAAGTTGTGGTGTAATTAAATCTTGAGTGCTAGGAATGTTTGGTACTTTAGGAGTAATGACAATTTTCATTCCTTCCGGAATATCTTGATTGATTTTTGGTGGAATTGGAGTATTTTCTATTGAAGAAGTAAAGTCTTTTCCATCAGTGAATTGATTCTCATTGTTTCTTTTCCGCATGGATAAATACCAGTTAGGATTCTTCGTGCTCACATTAGGCAATGATGTATTAGTAGATGTCTTGGTCGAACTTGATGAATAATTACAATCTCGATTGCTACTCTTACTTAAGTTCCTATCGAGTCCGTCAACGGATCTACTTGAAGCACTTTCCAAGTTTTCATCGAGCAATCCAAAGGATGTTCCGTGAACTGGACATTTAGGATTAGCGGTAATCGAAGTAGTAGTATTCAGCCCAGCAGATTCGTTGCGATGATTAAACAAAACTTCCTGCGCATCAATAGCAATACGTTCAATGGAGTCAATGATGCTGGAATCTGAACGGTTCTTACCAGTGGAATCTTGCCTTTTCAATAAGGGGCCAACATGGAGATTAGTCGTAATTGGTTCTCTTTCATCTTCCTCCGGCAAATCAAGGCTTTTGGAAGTTCCAAACATTCTTGGAGGTGGTTGAGGTGGACACCCACCTACACAAGGTGGATGAGAACCTTTTCTATGATCCATCAAAGCATTTCCAAATTGTCTCGGGGGACAAAAACTACTTGTTGCTGGAAGAGATCGTCTCTTTTCTATGTCTGGCAGTACCTTTGGATAATTACGTCGTTTAATGGTCTTTAAAGCTTCTTCTGGACTTACGTTCTCTCTTTCAGTAATGGGCTCTCGACATGTGACATTTATATCTTTTGGTTGGTCAACTGCAAATGTTGTCATCTGGGGAATTCTTCCGTAAATATTTCCTTCAGTAATTTTGGATATCTCACTCCCATCACACGTATCGTTGGAAACATCCTCCTCTAGAGTATCCGATTGATCAAAGCTAGGTAATTTAGTCTTTACTTTTGGATTTATCTTGGCGTAAAGACTACTTGCACTGCCTGAATCGGATTCGCATACACGATTTGTTGGAAAATTGGGTCTTATAGTTTTAAAAACTGTCTCCATAGGTAGAGGATCACTTCGAGAGTGATGGTGTTCGATAACGACAACCTGAGGTGTAGCACGGACGTCGATAAATTCCACTTGATCGTATGGACTTGTTCCCTCGAGTGAATTTAAATCTTTAACAAGTTCAATGGGTATTTGATTGAGGATGGATTCCGTTCTTGTCGCAGGTGTTGCGTCAACTGCCACAGATACTTTAGGCACTTTAGGTTTTTTCCCACCAGGTCTTACAATAAGAGCTGGATTCTGATCGTATATTGGTTCAAGCTTTGTTGTTTTCAATTGTTCTTCTTCGTTTTTTTTTCTTTCATCATCACCTTTCTGATGCTGTTTTGTTAGCTTTTCTTCGTGTTCTTTCTGTAATGTCTCACGAGTCTTCCTTAGAAACCTCGGTGAGCATCTGGAATATAAACATAAATAAATATTACACCAATATTATTATTATTCAATGAAAAATAAAATTTAATAAAGTCGATTTGTTTTGAATAAAAAATAAAGAAGTGTCAATTTTATCCAATTGAAGAATTATAAATTCTTATAAGTAATGGAATAAGAAGTAGAAAAGTGAAATTAAACTTTGATATTATAATTAATAAGTAAATTATTCATCAAAGAAAAAAAGACTAAAAAAATCCCAGTTTTCTAAATTAAACTCGAGCATTAATTTCTTAAATAAATTGTTTCTTTTTTATCCCCGTTGAAATTTTCCTGGTCAAGGTCTTAACATAATTTAAATTATCTAGCCAAGGCTTATCATAGCCTTGATTTCATTTCTACTAAAGTAGTTAATTCTCTCTTTTAATTAAATTTTCAGTTTCTCAAATGAATTAAACAAGAAATGTTCAAATTCAAATAAATATGCAAAGAAAGAAACCAAAAAACAAAAAAAGTGGGATACATTTTAACGATGTGAAAAATGCATAAAAAATATTGTAAAAAAATAAATTTTTCAATTTTCAATTTTAGATAAAAGTAATTGCAAAACTTCAAGAGAAGTGGGTAGGTTTCATCGGGGTTGTCGGCCGCATTTTGGTGCAACGACTATTCGAGGAAGCAGCAAACGTAATTGGATTACCCGGCCCACCTTGGTCAAGAACTCTATTGCAGTCAGGGGCAAATCGTTAACACAAGGACTCTCCAACAACGAATACGACTCGCTCAATTAGACACACTTGGATGTATAAGAGGTACAGCGTTGGAAGTACAGAAGAGAGAGAACAGTCTCCAACTCCGACTCACCTGTGAACTATTTCCTGTTGGATCCATTCCTTAACTTTAATGTGAGTGTCGATCGTAGAGTTTGAATTTTGTCGTGAAAGCTTTGACTGTCGGCCAAAGTTAGAGCTGTTATCGTACGCTTTATCACTTTTAACCACCTCATGAATATCAGGCTTACTATCACACTTGCGGCTGAGTTCTATCGGATTTTCCACCTGTTTATTAGCTTTTGATTTACGTGATCCAGCTCCATTATGTCCGCTCTTATTACTGAAACGTCTATTGAGTTTTTTTGCTGCCGATTGTTCTTTGTTTTTCAAACTTTGACGTCTATGATAGAGGTAAAAGAAAGCGGAAAGATTTATGAGCAGAAACACAATTCCGAAACCAATAATCATCGTGATAGCTGATGATCCTTTGAACATGCCTTCCTCAATAACCGGTTTGCTATCGTCTTGTTTAGAATCACCGTTCAATTGAGAAAACGGAAATCTATTGGACGGACTTTCCTGTTCGTTTGTCAAACCATATCCACTACCCAAGCTGCTCGGTATAGCTGTTGTGTATTTCATTCCAAAACCATTGACTGGTTTGGATGAGTTCATGTTTCTATACTTGCCGATCCCGTCTGCTCTATCCAGAAACTCAGGACGGGGACCTCGAGGTCTATGTCTAATTAAATTTGGTATGTCTTCATTCCAAAATTGCATCTCTGCCGATCGATAGTGCCGTCCCACCTTCGGTGGAATCGCTGTGAAATTTAATTTTCTTTTTTAAGTACTGCTTTAATTATCAGACTTAAAAAACACAAAAACTTAACACTCACTTAAATTGAAGTACGTCTCATCAATGAAATTGAATTCAGGCCAATCAAGTTGATATTGTCGCCACTCTTTTGGTCCATCTGTTAGATAAGTCAGTCTCTTTGGTGCATTTGGGTTCCTTTGAAAAACATAAAATAAAAATTAGCTGCTATTTAATCAAAAAATATTCTCACTTAGCAAATGATAGTTTGATTGAATTGTTATTCTACCAGTATAACAAAAACTTCGTTCCCAAATGTTCCCCAGTGGATAAATTCCCCGACGTTCCTTTCGTGGGACTATGGAGAACGTTTGGGGAAAAAACGCGAAGCCTATATAACAATGAATTAAAGCAAGTTCCGGTTTTACCCCGTTTTAAGGGTGAAAAAATTGATTTTTTAAAAGTTTGACCGGATTCCGCATTTCTACGCATTAAGACGAAGAGAATGAGTGGTCAAACTTGAAAATCGGACAACTTTGATTTTTCGACCCTAAAAAATGGCAAGTGGTACCCCTTTCCATTTTTTTTGGCCAAAAAATAAAGTTCTCCGATTTTGATGATTGAGGGCTCATTCTCTTCGTCTTGCTGCGTAGAAATGCGGAATCTCGGCACCGGTCAAGAAAATTCACTTTAACACCCTTAAAATGGGGTAAAATTGGTTACAAATTAAAAATTATCATCCCCTTGATTTTAAACCCTTATAACTCATGAATGGATGATCTAATAATCATTTTTAGGGACGTTTAAGAAACTTTAGAATCTAAGCTAAACAAACATATCCATAAAAAACGTTAAAAAAATTTCCTTCATGATTAAAATCGCTAAAATATGAAAAGAATCACATTTTTATGGGAGTTTGTCTAGTTATTCGGTCATTTTAAGGGTAAAAGAATTTTTTTAACGTTTTTTATGGATATGTTTGTTTAGCTTAGATCCTAAAGTTTCTAAAATGTCCCTAAAAACGATTATTGGACCATCCGTTCATGAGTTATAAGGGTTTAAAGTCAAGGGGATGATAATTTGTAATTTGTATCCAGTTTTACCCCTTTTTAAGGGTGTTAAAGTGAATTTTCTTGATCGGTGCCCCGATTCCGCATTTCTACGCATCAAGACGAAGAGAATGAGCCCTCAATCATCAAAATCGAAGAACTTTTATTTTTTGGCCAAAAAAAATGGAAAGGGGTACCACTTGCCATTTTTTGGGGTCGAAAAATCAAAGTTGTCCGATTTTCAAGTTTGACCACTCATTCTCTTCGTCTTAATGCGTAGAAATGCGGGAATCTGGTCTAAAATATAAAATCAATTATTTCACCCCTAAAATGGGGTAAAACCGGAACTTGCTTTAATTCATTGTCTATATAGGCTTTGCGTTTTTTCCCCAAACGTTCTCCATAGTCCCACGAAAGGAACGTCCTTTGGGAAAGAAATTTTTGTTATACGACCATCAAAAAAAAACCCGACACTTTCAAGAGTTTGTTTTCAAGTCAAAACTTGATGATAAAAAAAATACTCCTCTGTAATCTAAGTTTATAAAGGAAAATTCTAACTGACAAGATTAATAGTCGATGATGTTTTTTTTATTACATGCTTTCTCGACTAATTTATGGATAACTTGGTTTAATCTGTTCATGCAGTATCGAATATTTTTTAAACTGATTAATACTCATAGTCCGATTGAAATGAAATGAAATGTTCAATCAATGTTTTTTTGTTCTTCCAAAGATGAAAAAATTTGAGCAATCGATAAATAATAAAATTCAGTACGAAAATATAAGCATTTACTTTATGCGTTACATTGAACATCGAAAACAATCCAATCGGAAGGGTTGCTAATTTCTGACACTGTCTAAAAATGATAAAGCGTAACCAATTCTCTCTCTAGCAAATCTACCCTTCGGAATGGGATAGTGTAATTTGTAGGTATAGGGTAATCGTTGCCATTGGACAAATTAAAACGAACGATTCACTAGACCGTTAATTTAACAATGTCGACCATCAAATCAATAATCATTAATTAAATTATTCTGAAAACCATTCAAACGAGAAAGGGAAGCCACTGACTTCCGCATTCACTACATTCTGGAAGCACATCTAAAAAAATTATGCCATCCATTGAGAAAACTATAATAAACTATTGTCAAAATGAATACATAAATAATTAAACAATACTACTTAGAGTTCTTTATTAATTCTGATTCAATATATTTATAAAAATATTTGACAAAATTTATCGAATTGAAGACTGAGAAATTTAATAATGAAATAATTAATTGATCTATAAAATGAAACAAAAAATGGAATAACTGAATTTATAGTCGACATAAAATAAAGAAATTAATTTTAACATAAAAAATATTTAGCTCTGAAAATGATTGCGAAATGAATAATTTTGGAATAATTTATTTTAAAACAGTTAGACGTTTATAAAAATTGAAATCACCTTTTTAATCACGACTGAATTATTTTAATCACATCATGAATGAAAAAAATTTCTCTTGTAATTAATTCCTTCTATATCGAAGAGGTTCACGAACTCGATTGAAAGTAATTCCTTGAAAGTAATTATAGTTATAGTATCATTAAAATTACAAAGAAAACACAAGGTCATGAGTTGAATTGAGATGGAAAATTTTGAATGGTAGAATGGATGAAACAATAAAACTTTTAGAAGCATCAAGTATGTATAAACAATGTAATTTATTTTCTCTATTGAATAACTTTCTTTGGAACTATCGTTTGATCTTTTAACCTTCTTGTTCACGTACATAGCAATGAAAAATTACCATCACCAATCACGAAAACTATGCGAGAGTATCAAAGAAATAGACATCCATCATTAATCTCTTTATTCTCTTTTGCAGAATACTCTTAAATGGATGAAATGTCTCTTGTGCATATATCTCGAACATTTTTATTAATATCGAATAGAGCAAAAATAAAATAAAAATGAAATATTCTTATAAGAAAATCTGCATTGTACGTTTTAAAAAAGATGACGAATATAATAGAAACCTGAATATAAAGACATTTCAATAAAGGATTAATTAAAAGTTAGATGTTTTTTTTTCTCACATATTTCCCATGATGGTACATATTTCGTCCATGTGTTTTTTAACACTCGTACCCTTTTCATATATAAACGTAATTGATTCTGTCACTCTTCGCCACTAAATTTTCACCGTTAAAGTGTAGGTTGTATAGCCAGAAAAAAAGACGATCAACCCTCTTCATCCTATGGAAATTACTCACACATTCACGGATAATGCTTGGAACGTTGCCCAATTCCATTTTGCCGCAACCAACAAACCATTTCGGATTTTTCATATTTACAAAGTAACTTAAATTTTTTTCTCTCTCTTTTATTCGTACCCTGTGTATGCAAAGTTGCACCACCAAGTCATCATGGCTTCTGAAAAAAGTGTTTCTCCAATATTGTATCGACCGCGCAAATGATACTTGCCACCATCAAGTGGAACACCAAGCATGTAAGGTATTTCTTCACCATGTACGGTATGTTGTCGATGTTGCTAAAAAAAAAAAACAAAAAAATAGATATACATTAACTGATATCTCTTTTAGTGTCAAGTGTTCATTAAATTATTCTTCCATATATTGGTGCATCTTTATAAATTGATCTCTTCAAATTTTTCTCATTATTGAAACTGTTTTTAATCAAGCATCATAAGCTCTTTGAAAAAAGAGTATATTTTTCCTGGCATTTGTAATTTTTAATTCATTCAGTTGAACAAACAGAGAATAATTCTTCATTGTATTAACAAACATTATATATGAGGTTTGTTTATTCAGTAATAAAAAATTATATGATACAAACTGGAATAAAAACTTCAATAATAAAATTGACGTTATATAAAGAGCTACAAAATTTGAATAAAATTTTTCTTATATATTATTTGATATAATATTTTTAGAAATATATATTTTTATAATCTACAATAATCTTCAAATATTAAATGAAGAAACTTTTTGTTATTGTTAGAAGAAGGAAATATAGTGATTTGTTAATTGTAAGTAAACGTTTACATTTGTTAAATTAAAGTCTCATAAGCTGATGAAAAATGTTTACTTACTCCTGAGTAATCGTGCATGGCTCTAGGATGTGAAAAAACATACATATAGTTTTTAGGATTGGCTTTGGCATGAATTCTACCCATGAGTACTAGTGGTGCAACGACAGCACTGTCTGAAAAAGCATCAAGTACTATATCTCGATTTTTCGTTGGGTAGTCATTTGAAAAACCATCTAGAGACTCTCCCCCGTAGTGTTCTAGAACTTTAGATAAAATCAGCTCGGGCTCTAGCTCATGAGTTGCCTGAAAAAATATTTGTTTTATTCAAGGTAAATATGAAAGTTATGAGAAGCCAAGTATCAAAGTAAAGATCTTACTTTTGCATGTTCGTGAAGTACTTCATCTCTCTGGCCGTCTAGCATTCCATGGAGCACAGCAACGGGTGGTAGGACGTGGAATTTTTCAGATTCAGTAATACCGTACATCAAGTCAAAGCTGTCGATATTGATTGGGAAATTGCATGAGAAATACTTTAGCCGTATGGTTGAAACATACATATAGTTGATAATAATAATATATATAAAAAAGTTTTTATATTGCAAACCTGCCAAACACTTGAGCATTTTCCATCAATCTCAGAGGCTTCTTCGGAATAACTGCACGATCGATGAGTGGAGCAAATGCTGGTACGAATCTTGGTTTATCGATTTTCACATTCAATAAAGAATCCACGTCTCGATTGCGAAGACAAACTGCCAATTCGTTGTCATCCGTAGTAGGACAGTTAAGAGCATATGCTACTTGTTTTGTTATTTGTAGTGGAGCTTTTCCAATTGCATCATAACTCAAAGCTGATCCTGACATCAGAATAGCTCGTTTGAATAGACCTGATAACAAAAAATTTATTATTAAAATTTCACAAATAATAAATGAGATCATGCTCTATTTCGCTACAGATAATTTAGCAAGTTTAATTAATTATACAGTTAGAAGTTTTTTTTAATTTTTTGTAGACTTTTTTTTGTTATTATTGTTGATGAAAAGCCTTGATTTAATTAATTCATTATAATGTTCTGCTGATTTTGACAATAGAATAATTCGTTTGAACATGTATTATAAAACAAAAAAATACTAGACATAAAACAGGTTGTTGTATAAATAGAAGAAGATAAGCCATAATTAATGCTCACGAAATGTGGAAAAACTTTTTTCATACACTTTCAATATTCCTTTTTCCAGCCAATATTAATATTCAATATCTCAATAATATTCTATACTAGTTGACATCAAATAACTAAATGGTAAACAGATACTGTTGATCGCATCTACTGATAATAAATTAAAATAATTAAATATCTATTTTTAATTCATTTAATTTTTTTTAAATTATTTCCAGGTATAGTTAATATCAAAATAGCATTCTCCAATCTATTATAATTATTACCATTATCATTTTATCGGGTTTAATCATGATAAAAACATCTTCAACGAAAAGCAAAACATAAAATGGAATAAATAAAAGTCTAATGAATTTATAGGTAATTTGATCTTTTTATAATTCATTTAACAATTTAGCCAATTATGGAAATGATAACATGCAGAAAAAAGCACTGAGCAATGTTTTTTTTCCTCTGCTTATTTATAGAGACATAAAGCTCATAAACTGCTTTAAAGATAATTCTGCTTAATATTCTATTATGTTAGTTCTACAACAATGAGTAGTTTGTAAAGTAATAGTAAAAGCATCCTATCAATGTCACAATTATCCTCAGCTATTTAGAGGTCGAGTGCACAAAATTGAATTGCTGCTGCTAATTCTCTTCTGACGTTTCCAATTTGGAGAACAAGGGTAGAATGTCACATATTTCACTTGAAAGGGATTGCCCATGTATATAGGTATATTAGCGAGGTATATATTGTTTCTCACTCACCTTTATTATTAGCGACTGGACTTATGAGGAGTAAATTAGTGAAAATAGCTCCTGTTCCGTGGCCGACTATCGTCACAGTATCCGGATCTCCACCAAATTTTGCAATATTCTCCTTTAACCACAACAGCGCCGCGGTTTGGTCCAATAAACCGAAATTACTCGCCACATCGTCGCTCGTTCCAGGCCTTAGGAAGCCTAAGAATGAATTTTATAATTATTACATAGTTTTATTGTAGGATAATTCAGTTAAATACACTTTAGATATTTAAAATAAAAAATAATAAATAACACAATTATCAGCTGGATAGTGGCTTTTATATTTATAACAACTTTAGAAGTTGATTAAAATTTAATCCAGAAAATTGTTTTCTAACTTGTTCAGTATCAGTGTGCATATTTCGAAGCATATATTTTCACCCTAAAACGACGGTTGGGAGTGCAAACTAAAGGGAGGAAGAGAGAAAGATGGTGGTTGCAGTAAACTTACCCTCCTCGACAGCGCGGGCTAACTGTGTCCGTCTCGCACTCGTGGTTGGGAAAGCACTAAGCGCTTCCCCAGCACTTTAACTTAATTTATGATTATGGTTTCGTGTTTTTTTTTCTAACCACTCTGCTACCGGATACAGCGGGTGAGAGAGCTTTCGTCTCAAGCACGTGGTATCCCGCATCTATTGCATTCTCATGCCCTCAAACACGAAGCTAACTTTTTCCAGACTCCAAATTATGAAGACAAATGTATTTGTCGAAATTTACACAACTTTGAAGATAAATTTTTACTCGATTTCTCGTAAGCATAAAGTAACAACAAATGTATTATTTTTTCTATACGAATTGTTTGAATTAACAGAGGTTCAAACTCGTAAAATTACCTATTTTATTCTGTCTTTCTTTTGACCCTTTTTTTATTTTGGCTTTCGCCGTATGCGCGAATTTTAAAATTTATTCTCACTCTGAATTATGAGCAGAGCAAGCTAACAGCCACCACCAGCAGCACTGCTGTAAAAAGATTTTTCATCGAAAACTGCAGAAAAATCTGACCATCTGAATTGATGTTCTGATTCTATACCACGTGCTAGACAAAAACGAATAAAGTCCAACAAAAAATTCATAATAAATAAACATATAAATGTTTGTTTGCACTCTTTATATTATGACATAATATATACCATTTAAGCTTTTAATATTTATTATTCTACATACCCAGAATACCCAGTCGAAAATTAATTGTTACAAACACCACATTCCCGTAAGCAGCTATTACTGTTCCATCATATGGATTGCCACTATTCCAGTCGAAGCTTTCACCATGGATAAATACCATCACTGGATATCTGCGTAAATTAGTTTGACCTGTAACGCAAATGAAATTTTATTAAAATACCTATACACTAAAAGTTCATTGAATTTTTTGACAGTTGGATACTCGGAAATTTTCAATAACACCACACCAGAGGGTCTCGTAAATAACGTGAGAGTAAGTAACTACTCAGAGAGAAAGGGGGAAAGGAATACTGATTTAATTTCTTCGACACCGAGTATGCGGGCCTGCGAAACTTTCCAAATTAACTCGTTACTCTCTGACAACTTTATCTTGAGATTTAATTAACCCAAACAATTAACGAGAGTAGTCGCTCTTTTATAGGCATATTTTTTCAATTATCGATAATGTTTTAATCAATTATTTATTTGGAAAAAATATTATTTTGTTGGTAGAAAAAAGAAAATAATCTGTTGCTGCAACAGATCAAGGATAGAGTCTTATGTAGATGGTACAGCCTCATGTAAGGCAGGCTCTGCCAATCTTAATAAATTTTATATCAGCTTCAAGTATAACTTAAAGATGATGTTTTGTAAAGCATGAATAGCAAAGAGCTATCCAAGTAGCAATGAAATATGGCCACCTATGGGTCTGATAATATTTTTTTATAGTATACCGTGATGTCATTACCTTATTACAACCACAGAGCTATCTAGTACATAAATAATTACGAAATAATTCTAGTTTTATTGTCTCTTCCGGAGTTTCGTTTTCTGTCTTACTCGAAACCAAACAGAATGATTCATTATCATTTTCATCAATGAATGATTAGTTTTTGTTTTTAAATATACACTGTGCTATTGTTTTGTTTGAGATATTGTGATCAAGAATGAAATTATTCTTGATCTAAGAATATCATTAATTGAGTGTAGTATAAGTTTGATTTAAATTAATTATTCCAAAGTGATTATCAATCATGTTTATTGCTTAAAAATTACTCTTAAATCTGTTCTGAATTTATAATGAATGTACATTCATCTTACAGTTGTTAAGAATTTAAGAAAAAATCTGCTGAAGGATAAAAATGTAAAATTCTAGTACCGATAACACATACCAGCTTTTTTAGTTATAAAAATGATGACGTTCTTAGCACATTTGTCATCTTCTTGATTTTTTCAACATTATCTCACCCATATCGCCCGAGAAACGATAAATGCAAAATCTCAATCGTAATATATCTTAGTAAGATGAAAATTTGTTACGTTATGACAAAGAATAAATTTCCGGTTGCCATGATAGAGCATACAAAGTCTGAGCAAGGTATAGTAGATTGACGTTAAAAAGAGAGAAAAAAAACTAATGGCTGTTTCTCTAACATGAGTTAAAAAACTTAAGAGCCAAAGGTCGCCAGGCGATTTGCATGAAAATTGAAAGGTTGCCCGTAGGCAAGAATATATTGACGTATCATGGATATTGTCAGCTTGTATCTCCACTCCTACTCTGGTACGTTGAACCTCGTAATATTCTCGTAAATCATCTAACTTGTCTGTACACAGATATTAAGAGATCTCAGTAAACCTCTAGAGAGGATTCTAGTAAATTTAAACTTTAGTTTGAACTTTAGTTTCTATAAAAAGTGAGATAAAAAAATCTAAAGTAAAAATAAATCAGGAACAAGTGGAAAGTAAATCAGTGTTCTTTGGCCAGGATTCAAGAATTTTGTGGTAAGTTTAGGTTTGGGGATGTTCGAAATGTTGGCATTTAGATCCCCATGCTGGATAGGTCACTTTCTTCTTTTCAGGGTCGGCTAAATGTACCACAATTTGCTGAAGAGAAAACTAAAGCCACCTGGCAACACAAGCTGCAAGCTCGGGATTCCCCGAGTTCCAAGAACTCATCCAAGATGGCGTGTCGAGGTTGCTTAGCAGAATTGAAACATGCTGGAAATAAATCAATGATTTTTGAATTTAGACCAAGGCCAGTTAAAAAAGTTCCTAAGAAGAGAGATAAATATTTCAATAACTTGAGGAATTTAAAATATATATATATTTTAATGAATTCCAATTAAATTTATTAATTCATCAATTTAGGAGAATCGATAGATACCGGTAGACTACATTTGTCATTACTACTTAGCTTTCTAAGCTCATGCTTTCCAGAAACTTTGCCAAACTTCTGATAATTAACCACAAAGGTATTGGTGTTTCTCAGAATTCTAGACTGATAAATGAATTGCCTGTCCGAAAGAAACATCGTGACTACAACCTTCTTATTTACTATGAGTCACGATTGAGAATGTAATTTCTTTTTGTAGAAATGGAAAAACTATTTTTACTCAACACTCCAAAGTCCAATGGAATTTTCTCAATTTCTTCGCAATCTAGTTGCTCATTATTTCTATATACATACATAATTATCGAATTATTATTTACAATTCACTATTTTCTACTCTGTGAGATCTAATTAACATCTTCGCGAATTTTGACTCTAAAGTAAACTAATATTTTCATTTGTTAGCTTTCGAATTTATATTTCATTTTAATTATTATATTAGCTACGCTTCGAAGACTTCATTTCCTTTTTAAGGCCACATATAACTGAAAATTGCAAAATCCGTCATGTGTTATCAAGCTTTAGAACGTTTTTCAGTCCAACTAATTCTGAAGTAAGTCACAATTTCAAGTTTATCGTCATAATCGTACATTGAATTTCATCTGTGTAAAAGCAAGTATCCATGTGTTGGTTTGTCAGTATTTCCGGCGGCTTATTCTCTATCTGCCGATAATTTTGTTTCTTTGATATTATTTTTAAAAGATGTATATTTTTTGAATGAATCAAAATATTCTATTTATTCTTCAGCTTCTATTATTTTTGAGCATTAAGCGAATTTTAGATGAATAACTCAAAAAAATATTGGGAACAGAAATACAGTTTCCAAAGACTTAATGTAATGCTTTAGACTTTTTTTTTTAACGAATAAACGACTGATAAAAAAGATGGAACACAGAATCTATAAAAATTGATATTTAATATCCATTTTTATAGAACAATCTTTTAAGACTCTTTTTAATCGTTAAACTTTTTATTTTATCTCCTTGTTTATTGAGGAGTAAAAAAGATCATAAAAATGGTAAATAAAATGAATATTATAAAATTATCATTATCTCAAGTACAGGAGAATCGTTTATTAATATTGCATATAAAATATGTGTATTTTATTACAATTGAAAGAATTATTTCATATCACTGAAAAATGAGTAATAATAGAATGAAAAGAAGTATTTGATTTCACTTTTAGTCAGAAAATTTTTAAAAATCATTCTGAAGATATGTATTGATGATATCAGAGACAAATAATCATCATTGTAATTGAATCGATATATAGAGAAATTGCAGTTTGAATTTGAACAGGTACTTACTAAAGATATCTGATAAACACAAATCAGTTCAATTTACGCTGATTTTGATAATTGATTTGTGATTGACAAACTGATTAACTAGTGATTATACGTCTGTTAATATATCAAATACCAATCGTATTGATACTATAAGAACCCACAGGAAAAAATTTGCAATCTCACGTTAGAATTTAAATAAAATTCAAAGTCATTAACATTTTGTCTACCCATTGATTTATCAACTCTACTTGACAAAATCATATTGAACTTTTTACAATTAACATTTATTTAAATTCAACCTTTTCCCTAATTAAAAGTCTTCAATTAAAAAGCTCCGAAAAAAATTAATTCCACACCAATTCCAACTATTCTCTCATTTCGAAAAATCTATTTATCTTCCAAGTAATGTCTATCTTTTGTAGTAATTCGTTCATCGTGAATCAATAATACCTGGAGATAAGAGAAATGATTTTAGTGAGGTGCTATTTTAAATAAATCTATTCCTATCAACTTGTTAACGAGTGAATAAAACTGTACTCAGACTGAATATATATAATAGTAGAATAATGAAAGAATAATATTCCTAAATCAAGAGCAAGGCATTCATATTAGCGTTAAAATGAAGGACCTTGTGATGTTAGAGTAATTATAGTTAAGAATAGAATCATTATTTATTGAGGAAATTGTTCTTCAGTGAAACTAGAAATTTTTTCACAATCATTCCAAGTATTATATGCCATAAAAAGTGATGTTGTAATTATGGAAAGAATAAATAGTTTAGAAGAAACAATATTTCAATCATAACATAAATTTTAAGAGGTATAATTATAGTTTCTATATAAATAATAAGTACCAGTATCATAAGTCAATTAAGTAAGCTAATTTTAACTCTTTTAATGAATTAGATCTAAAAAACTAGACATACATTTTAATTAAAGAGTTCATAATTTTGTAATCAAAATACGAAGCAAAGACCAGGTTAATAAATAAAATAAAAAGTTGAAAACGATCGTAAGATAAGAGAAAAATATGAATCATAAGAATAAACGGTTATTTTCACACTCTCAAAGAATGTTAAAGCTGTAAATAATCGTTATATTTTTCATTTGATACTTAGTGTTTTTATAAAAGTTAAAAAAAAATGCATAATAAAGTTATTAAGTGAAATAAAGAATTTTTAGCAGGGCAGTTTAAATGCATTACACACATTCAAGCACAGTAAAGAGTCGTGTCGTAGTAGATGAGTTTTCCATTTCACTATTTTCCTAGTCTCCTTGGCCACTTGTGAATTCTCGACATATTTATGCAACCCGCGATAACCGGACTGTCCCTTTTTAAAACGTGGCTTAAAAGCTCAAGAGGTGAGAGAAGGGTAGTAGACAGGGAGTGGGAATAGGTTGGGTGGTTTTCGCAATAAGCGTCTACGTAGCACCATCAAGACTATTTATTTTTTTATTATTTAATTTTTTATCTCGTCTACAATTTTTTGTTATCTTGGCTACTTTTCTCCATTTTTCGAGCTGTGCTAACTGGAAAAAAATATTTATTCACAACTGTTATTTATGTAATTAACGTATCCATTATTGATGATGATGGAAAAGTGAATTATCGAATTCTGCATCCTAAATTGTGCGTTTGAGCGTATCAATTATTTCACTGCGTTGATTCATCTAACTAATCGATAATCAGTCGCA